CCTGAACTAAGGATGCTGTTCTTATATGAAAGGTCACCTTAGGTACTTTTAGTGTGTTGTCACTTCTAAACTGAGCCAGTGGCACACAATCAAGCTTTTGTAGTATCATTTGAGGACCAAACCTAACTGGTTTCAAAATGCTGGTTTGCACACAACCTGAAATTAAAGGGGAGAATGGCAGAGTACAGTTTTCTCTGCTCTATTAAAAGCAGACTGAGAGCTCATTTCATTCTTCCTCTTACTGGGACTGTGTCCCACAGAATTTCCCATCCTCTTTGGTGAAGTGAGGACTCTGAAGGAATATGAACTAGTAGTATCAGGAGGCGCTAGAGCCTGGTGGAGAGCTTCTGAGGTCCTCAGCCTTCCTGCCAATGGATGGAATAGTAGCTGAACCTGACAGGAGAAGACAAGATGTCCGAGTCAGGAGAAGTTCTCTACCAATCTTCTGTTCTCTAGAGGAAGATCTGTTCCTCTATTGACTTTCTCACCCATTCTGGGACAGAGTACAGGAAGGGGACACATCTTGATACTACCTTACCTTCTTCTCTGGAAGAAGAGACCTAGCTAGATTCTAGAGGCAATAAAACAGACCTGTCAGTTCTTTCATCCTTTGTGGAGATGGAATCAAGGAGGAGTGACTGGGGGAAAATGTAAGAGATTGGAGCAAGAGACTGAAGATGGAATTAGGATGTGGCCTGACAGAAGATAGGAACAGGGGCTGAGAGGAGAAGATGGGAAGCTAAGAATGGGAGGGTGATTGAGAGAACTATGTTCACTCAGAATATTCCATTCTCATACCCTGGTTGTAAGTGAGTCATGGGAAGGGGATGAGATGAACTGTGTGTGTGTGTGTGTGAATTGAGAGGATGGTGGGGAGGGGGAAATGAAATAAATTAAGATAAAAGAGATGGAGGAAGAGAACTAGGGCACTAGAAAAAGTATGGGGGAAATAATAGTTAATCACAGAGAAAACTAAAGATTAATGAAAAGAGAAAGGCAGACATAGGAGTAAGTGGGGGGGGGGAATGAATGAATTAAAGGAAGGAAAAGAAAAGAGAAAATCTGGAAGACAATGTAAGCTTTTTAAAAAGACACTGTTATATAGAAAGTCTTGTGTCAAAATATTACAATGAAATATGTAACCGTTAACTTAGTTTTTAGGGGACATGACCGAGAAGGAGGAAGGGGGGGGTTAAGAGATCTAGTTGTGGATGGGAATTAGCCCAGTATTGTATGCACAGAGTAGCAGGATAACCTTCCCTGTTTTTTTGTCTTTGTTCTTCATTTCTACTAACACCAGTCATGGTTTTAATTTTTAAGTGTGTATGACTGACAGGAGCCTTGATGTTAATGGTGCAAACTCACTGTTTTTTTTTTTAACAGAATATATAGTTGTCATTGGCAACTATATGAGATGTGTTTCCTTTGTCATAAAAGTGCTCTTGTGAAACATCTTCAAAAATGTTGCATCAGATATTTAAAAATTCTCCAAGGGAAACACTTCCCCTCCCCCATTTGTATTTGTTTCTACATCAGTTCAGAGTCTCCTTCCTGGTTAAATTTATACAATGGGATTTATTGGAAAGGGAGTGGGGAGCTTCAGAGATGCCCTATTGCACAGCTCCACACACTGCCCACACCTTTACCTAGATGGCTTTGGGCTTGTTTGGGCAAAGGAACTTATGGATACATTTCTTCTCTTCTCCCCATTCTCTTCTTCTTGCTGCATCCCATACCTCAAGATAGTCTGGTGTCATGACCAGAGACAACCACCACCAAAACACGTGAGTTCCCTTTCCTATTTTGATTTACTTTTACCACGGAGCACAGTTTAGTTATAAAGATGACTTACAAATCTTCTATTTAAGAAATGCAAAACTGTTTAAGTGGTAACACAGTGATGATGTGAAGATAAATAAATTAAAAACATTGTGAGGTGCTCAGATATCATGGTATGGGGTAAACTAGATAGATTTAAGAACCCAGATCAGTAGCAGAATGACCTTCATTCTACACTCATTACACAGTGAAGTCCATGGCAGTTCTGAGGTGCAAGTACTTCAGATTAGGAACTGTTTCTTACCATGTGTTTGTACAGCACCCAGCACAAAGGGCCCAAGTATGACTGGAGCCTCTGGTCACTACCTTTAATATTAATAATAGTTATCATATGTTCCTCTTCCTTAACCAGTAAACTCATAGGGGGGAAAAAAACAGAGAACAGCAACATGGCATGTTACACAAAAGAGCATGTTTAAAAGCAATGCAAAACTCACAGACCACCCAACAAACAAGGTATTTTCACTGTACAGTACCAGAAAAATTAAACCGCTCTTTGCACTGAAATGTTTCATTGGTGTCCAGTCCTAATTTACTGCTGGGGCAACTGATTAAACCTTTTAGGTGCTACTCAGCACAAACTCAGAATTGTTTTGTATTGCCCCGTTTGAAACAAATTGTTATTTAATTGGACTGGAATAGAATGTATCCAGCTGATCAGATTGTATTGCTACTGTCTGGTTATCAGCCTGGAAATACACTCCTTGCAGCTGATTAACCACCATCACAGTATCAACCCCTACCTACACTCTTATTTGCTTCCATTTCATAAATTTCCTGCGCACAGCATTAATGGGTACAGTCTGCCCCTGTACAGCCATCAACTTAAAGCTCTAGCCATCTGACAGAAGAATCTCCATTAATTCTGATTAATTTAAAGTGGTATGATCCAGTATGGCAAATTTGGGTTCCTATATTTAAAAAACAAAGCAAACAAACCCTTTCAAGTCTAATCAGTGCCAAAAGGGAAAAAGATGGAACACTATGAAAAGCCAAGTAAAATGGTCTGTCGTGCTTGTGAAAGGTTAGAATCAACCTAAAAAATAGGTAAAACCTCCAGCTTCACTAGCAATTGCTGCTTGAGATACAATGAATTATAAGCAATTACCTGCCTTTTCCCCTCTGCAGACAATTATTTTTCTAAAAATAGTTAAATTATCATAATACTTTCATTCTTTGGTTAAATAATAACTTTATCTCCTGGGAACATCTATCTGTAGTTATCAGCCTCTCTAGCAGATGCATATTGCTTTTAGATGCCCCAACTGTTAGAGTTCAAATATTTGAATTTTAAATACTGGCCTTTTCAACTTTTTTTATTTGACTGCTCTAGTCGGATTTTTTTGGTTTAAATGAGATAAGAAGAGTAGCCATTTGAAACCTGACCTTTAGAAACAGTCCACATATCACATTCACACAAGCAATTAAAGGGAGTGACTAAAATCATTAAACTTAAATACACTGCTTGATGGATTTTGCCCTGTGAAGATCTGTGAGGCATTTCTAATTTCATGCAGCAAACAATCATATACCATACTCTTCACCTCCAGAAAGGAACATAGGATATTGCCTGTGTGTGGCTACCCAGAAACTAGTATATGCGTGGGTGAGAGAGTATAGAGTTCTTGGTCAATTATTTTTTTATTGCATAAATGGAATGATCGCAGCTGCGGTGACTGTTGATATTTCATCATGAAATAGATGCTGGATTGAAAAACATGGGATACATTTATTTTTCGAGTAATTTTCTATAGGATGTGGTTGGAGCCCCAGTGCCTCTGACATTTAAAACTGCTAGAGAAAGTGCTGTATGTAACTGTACTGCAAGGGGGTTGTGACTCTAGGGCGTTATAAGTCAGTTCCATTTCTGTTGTCTGTGATTGTCGGTGTGATACTAACTTTGACTCGTTGCGATCACAAGTACAGCCTTCCAGTTAGCAGCATAAACCCTAGTCTACTGAGCGCTTGAAAGCGCTAGTGTAGACAGGCTCGGAGCTAATCCCCTCGTGGAGGTGGATTACCAGGAGCACTGGGAGAGCTCTCTCCCAGCACTCGCGCGCGACCACACTCGCACTTCAAAGCGCTGCCGCGGGAGCGCTTTGAAGTTTCCAGTGTAGACATACATTTAGTTCCTCTGAGTCCTCACAGCCAGTTTTTCCACTGTTGGAGCTAAGATTACAGGACGGTTTTGTACTTTCCCCCTTTCTTTCCTAATTATCCATGCGCACAGGTGGAGAAATGACCGTGAAAAGCAATTTAATCATAAATTTGTCTCAAGAGCTCTGGAAGAGTTGACATTTAGACGCTTGTTAAAACATTTCTTGAAGACTGTTTTATGTTGACTTTGGTACAGTTGCTGAAACGCTTACTCGTCACTTCTGTCCAATAAATCCATTCCGCACCAGTGCTTTGCACTTAAAAGCGTGGTCACCGTCACAGCCCAAGCCTGGGGCTGGCAATAAGTGTCTCCCCAGTCAGATTTGGGCTGCTGCACGGGGGTGCTGAGAGATTCCTTCCCCCATACAGTATGGCGGACTGCTCCTTAGGAGCCTCAGGTTATTTCTCACCTGCCTTTGTGCTCCATCAATCATTGATTTAATCGGTTCAAAGAAAACATCCCAAAGTGGTTTTAAATGGCTCCCGCCAGAGAAGGAAGCAGAGCAAGGCGGCAGCAGCAAAGGGCTCGTGTTCAAAGGCGTGTGCTTAAAGTTAGGCACCGCGGGAGTTTTAGGTACCCAGGCATCCCAGTGCCCCATTTCAATAACCGCCTGCCGCCCTTTGCAATGGGTCCCGCAGGGTTTGTCTCTGGAGCGCTCATGTATCTTTGCTCCAGGTGCAGGGGAGGGAAAGAGACAAACCGACGCGCTGCTTCTCGGGGACAAGAGTTGGAGCCTACGGGGCAGCTGCTCCCCGTTCCCTTCCCTATCCTGGCAGCGCGGGCCGTGCACCCCTAGGACCTCCCCCCCCCAGTCACGGCTAAGCCCGGCGCGCCCCTGGAGGACGCCCCGAGGATCCAGCTCGCCCCCTCCCCGGCCGAGGCTGCCGAAGGGCGCTGAGCACCTAGGTAATGATTAATGGCCGTGCCCACCCGGGGGGCGGGAAGGGGATAAAGGGGGCTGCGGGGCGGGAGCCAGGCGCTCACACGCGTCCCCTCTCCGCCCTCCCGGCAGCATGACACCTGCGGCCCCGCTCCACCTGCTGCTGCTCTGCCTGCTGAGCGGCCGCCGGCTGCGCGGGGAGCCCGGGCAAGGCGCGGGCACCTGGGCTCGCTTCGCCCGCCTGCCCTACCCGGAGGACGAGCTCTTCCTCTACGACACCTTCCCCGCGGGCTTCCTGTGGGGGGCGGGCAGCGCCGCGTACCAGGCCGAGGGGGGCTGGCGCCAGGGCGGCAAGGGCGCCTCGGTGTGGGACACCTTCGCGCACCGGGCGGCGCCGGCCGGCGCCCGCCAGCCCCAGCCGCTGCCCTCGGCGCCCGCCGGCGGGGACGTGGCCAGCGACAGCTACAACAACCTCTTCCGCGACACCGAGGGGCTGCGGCGCCTGGGCGTCTCCCACTACCGCTTCTCGCTCTCCTGGGCGCGCCTGCTGCCCAACGGCACCGCGCCCCCCAGCCCCGCCGGCCTGGCGCACTACGGCCGCCTGCTGGCCCGCCTGCGGCAGCTGGGCGTGGAGCCCGTGGTGACCCTCTACCACTGGGACCTGCCGCAGCGCCTGCAGGACGCCTACGGGGGCTGGGCCAGCCCGACCCTGGCCGAGCTGTTCCGGGACTACGCCGGGCTCTGCTTCAAGCACTTCGGCGGCCAGGTCCGCTACTGGCTCACCATCGACAACCCCTACGTGGTGGCCTGGCACGGCTACGCCACCGGCAGGCTGCCCCCGGGCGTCAAGGGCGGCCCGCCGCTGGGCTACAGGGCGGCGCACAACCTCCTCCAGGTAAGGGCTGCGCGCCCCGCGGGCAGGGGATGGAGGGGAGGAAACGCCTAGGGATGGATGGATGGGGGGTGATGCCCACTCCCAGCCGCGCTGGATGGCAGGCAGGCCGGCCAAGGAGTTTGCCCCACAAGTGGGGATGGAGGGAGAAGGCGAAAGCGCCTCAGTCTCCTCTCCCAGCCCGTCTCTGAGTTGGAGAGGAGAGAAAATCCCTCCCCCAGCTGGGAAGGAGCGGTGGCTGGATAGGGGAGAGGAGATGGGGGTGGCTAGTGGAGGAGAGGGCAAGAGAGGAAAAGGGCTTTCTCGTTCACACACCGAGGAAGCGGCTGAGGAGCTGGGATTTACAAAGTCAGATTTCTTAGTGCAGATTTCCACTGGCAGTGATACGGGACTTGGCCAAGTTGGGAAATGCCTGGCAGGAGTTGCCGATCGTGGAAGGAAGGAGGTTCCCAGGAAGAGCATTGCAAACGATGTACGCCTACTCTAAGAACAGTTGGGGGAATCTGAAAATATGTCACACTGGGATTTACTGAGACAGAGAGGATATTTTCTAGAGTAGATGAATGGGATTCAGAGGCAGGCAAAGGAGATGAAGTGGAGTTCTACATGTTTGTAGATTTCTTGCAGATAATATCCATCTCCCTAACGTCTATCCAACTTTTGTGTGGTGCGCAGACTTTGTGAATTCATTGCCATCCACCGGAGAAGATAAAATACATTTGGTATCCCTGCTAAAATTGCCACTATATTAAATCTGCAACTTCCGACTATGCCATCTGCAATATAAAAAAAAGTTTCAGCGCTGTACGTCTGCGTGATGGAATGATGTAATGTCTTCTCCACAAAAATAATGTTTAGGAAATGTGTAGCACCTGTTTACACTACAGGTGCTACAGCAGCATAGCTATGGTACCGTAGGGTAGACACAGGCTACGTCTACACTACCCGCCTGAATTGGCGGGTAGAAATCGATCTCTCAGGGATTGAATTATCATGTCTTGTCGGGACGCGACATTCAATCCCCGAATTGACGCTTGTACTCCACCAGCAGAGGTAGGAGTAAGCGCCGTCGACGGGGGAGCCGCGGAGGTCAATTTGCCGCCGTCCTCACAGTGGGGTAAGTTGGCTCCGATACGTCGAATTCAGCTATGCTATTTGCATAGCTGAATTTGCATATCTTAAATCGACCCCCACACCCCCGTAGTGAGGACGTAGCCACAGACTACAACGACAGAAGTGGTTTTTCCATCACCGAAGGAACTCCACCTCCCCGTGTTATAGTAGCTAGCGCGATGTCTACACTACAGCCTATACAAGCATAATTTATGTCGCTTAGGGTTGTGAATAAACCACCCCCCTGTTGCAATAGTTGGAAGGTGTGTGGTAGCACCATCCCATTCAGTGCACTGAATGAGGCAAAAGTCCTGTAGAAAATTATAGTATGTGATCTTTAAAAACGGTATCATAATGTTTATGCATAAGGGGACTGAATTAAAGTTGCACAGGCATTTCAAAACTTTTGAGTGCTTTATTTTGCAACCTTAATAGTGTTCATTTAACACAGTTTGTGTGTGTGTAAAATTCTAGATTTTTTTTTTTAAAGCAAACTGAAACACTCCTCCTGCCCCCCAAACTCCATCGTGTGGCATCACATTGACACCCACATGGATCATCAAGCAGGGAATTTTTAGATCCACACACAGACCACTGCCACTTGAGCTAACAGAGTAACTGATTAACTGAGTAACATTGATAGGCTGTCATTCTCATTGTGGAACAGCACTAGATGAGGATGAGACATGCACTTCATCAGCAGTTTTCATGGATATTTGCTGACAGCAGAGCAGTGGTGAGATTCAGGAATCTTGGGTTTCATTCCAGGCTTTGACTAGTGGCCAGTACTTAATTTGTAATGTAATTTGTGTCAGGGCTCAAGCAATTTTTTTTTTACTTTCATAACTGATGCGGCAAGCCCAGAGTTGCTGAGGCTATGAAGTGCCAAGTTTAGAGGTGCCGTATCTCAGCCCTGGCAAGCCTCAGCATAAATTAATCACTGGCACAGATTCTTTTGTCTGTTACCTTGAAATTTGACCCCTGCTGCCCCATCCAGTCCAATTTATCCCTGTGTCAGTCTTGTCTCTTCCCCCAACCCAGCTCCTTGTCCTAGTCCCAGTCTCCACTCCTCAGGCTTCTCATCCCAATCCAAGTCTCCTTGCCCAGCCCACGCTAGTCTCCCCTTTTGGTCTTCCTGTCCGAGTGCCAGGCTCCCCTCCTGCTTCCATTCCCAGTTACCCTGCTCCCAGTCCAATTCTTCTTGCCCAGCCATTCCCAGCTCTCTTCCTTGTTCCCAGTCTCTCTCCCCAACCAGTCCCAGTTCCTCTGATCCCACCTCATCATCTGATCTGTCTCCACCAACTGACCTTCTGATTCTCTCCACTACACCTCTCCTTCGTTACTTGTCCCAGTGAAATCAAGCTTGCTGAATATCTTCAGAAAAACTCCTTTGTTCTCAACTGTTTGGCTATCAACAGATTAACACCCTATCTCTCTAATATACATGTCCTTTCACATTTATCCCCTAATTCACAATATGTACAGAGTTTCTAGCATCTTTTTTGCTTTTATTAAAACAAAGACCTTTATGAGCAAAAAGAAGCTCGTGCAAGTCTTTTTACTGATGCATTTTACAGAATGTTGATTACCATAAAGTATTAATTCATGTCCCTCAAATCCTTTAAATCCCACAGATACTAATGTGGATATTGGACTCTTTCTGAGGATAAGTTATTTATTTTCTGAATAAGTAATCAGATAAGAATTAGAATGCGAGTCAAATTCAGGGTTGGTGTAAACAAGTTAGTGGAATTTCATGCATTTACCTGGGTCTGAATTTGGCTGGTTATGTGTTCATTTTACACTGTTATATGTACTACTTTTTCATTTTTTGAACTTTTTAATTTACATAGTCACTGTTTGTTCTGCTTTGTGGTTAACATTTTTCAATTTGTGAACTTTAGGGCAAAGGTGATAGTTTAAAAAAAAACATTTTATAATGTTGAAAATCCAGTATATGGTTCCATACTTCGACATATAGGAATTGTGGAATGAAACGTTATAAATAGAGAACTTCTAAAATACATCATGAATACTTGCAAGCATAAATACGTTGATTAAATTTAGGTGCCTAAATATGTGCCTAATCATGTTGCATAGTCACTTGAATGCTTATGGTCATAACCCCTGGCCAACCTACCACTTCTTGTGCTCTTTTAGGTGCACAGTAGCTCTCATGATTTAGACCCCAATCCTGCAAAATGCTGTGAGCTTCCTGTGAAGTGCTGAGGCAACTTCATCTCCTATAGAAGTCACCTTTGTAGGATTTGTCCAATAGCACCACCTGTTGAAAATGTTGAAGTGCTTGCTAGTGAAACTGCATGCCCAATTACTGCATGTGCACAGTGCTAATTTTGGAGAGAAATATAAGCATGCATGACCCAGGGACTTCTCAGTGCTAACTGCCAGAGGGCATAGGGGTTGCAAAGATTTTTACAGGGATTCCCTGAGTCAAATAGCTGCATAACCAAAGGTTGGCATGTGAGGTCTCTACTGAGAGTCCGTAACCCACTGGTCGTCTTTATCATTGTGAAATGTATGTATGGATAATATTTCAGAAATTATGTAGCTATACTAAAAAAGTATGTTCTTAATGTCTGGGAGTTAAGGCAGGTCACCGGGCAGTGACATACCTTGGACATGTTCCTTTCAGGCAGGAGGAAACAGATGCTTATCTCTCTGTCTGGCCACGTGTGTATTGTGCATTGTATGTCTCACAGTGGAGGCTTATTTGCACACTAAGCTAAAAGTCAGTCAAAAAAAATTGCAAAATCTACAAGAGAGAAAATCTACAGGAAGAAATAAAATAGCAGGGGGGTATCCTGTTTATGACAAAGATAAAAGGATTAGTCTGGTATGTCAGGGAAGGCACAAAAAACACAGGATCCTTCACTGAGGAGACAAGCTAACAGCGTGTTTGTCGTATGAAAGGAGGGTCCCAGCCAGGCTGTCTGTAAAACACTGAAAAGACTTCGGGTGAACATTACTCTACAAGACATGAAAGTATCTAGTTAATTAAGTCTAGGTTCTAGAATGCATGTTAGGATTTTATTTTATATGTAACCATTTGTTTCCAATACTTCTTCTTGTTATTACTTCAGTCTCTGTGCTTTGTTAAATAAACTTATACTTAATTTCACTATTAACAAATCTAAGTGCTGTGAGTTGAGTGGAGCGGTGATCCTGAGGTGAATCTTGTAAGCAGGGGTGTACTGCTCCTTTGGGAACAGTGGATCTTGGGAATTCTGTGAGTGTCCGTCCAGTGGATCAGGGGCTGGGCCCTCCAGGGATATGCTCAGAAGGCTTGGGGGTTGCAGTGTACCTACTGCTAACATGTAGAGAGGCAGTGAGGCCTGCCTAGGCCTAGAGGGGCATGCTTGTGTTGCCTTTGCACATAGAGTTGGGGAGCTGACCAGCAGAAGGCACAGATAAGGCTTCCTCATGCTAAGGGAAGGTATTAGCAAGGTGCCTCACAACCCCGGGTACCACTTGAAAGCGTCACATGTTCTATAAATGTCCACTCACTAGTTATAAAGCTCTTTGCAGTAGCCTCATTTCAAATTCTGAATTGATAAAATAAGGCACATTTTATCTAACTAATAAATAATAAGGAAGATGTATAATGTAGGTGAGTATACTTTAGATTATTTTTGTTCTCCCAGAATATGTAGGAAACACACCACTGGATAGTTCTACTGAAGTCAATGCAGCTATGCTGATTTACACCAGCTGAAGATCTGGCTCTTAGTTTTAGGGTACTGGGGAAAATGAATATTTTTTTTTTTTTTTTTTTTTTTAGCTTTTTCTTAAGCTAACGCTTTGTTTTTGACTTGTCTAAGACTCCAAAACTGGGTAAGAAATGGGTGCAATTATGTGCTTTTATTAACAAA